GTTGCGCCCAGAGATTGAGTTACCGTTGTTTCTGAGCTAAGTTTGTGTGGTGCTTTCCTTCCTGCAGCGGTTCTACTGGGTTCCAGAGAGAAAGGTGTGGGGAGGGGGCAAAGCATGAGTTTGCCTGACGTGCACCACAAAGGCCGTGGGGGTTTTGAAGCATGGGGCTGGCATGGTAGTGACCCTGCAGTGGGAACTTAGCGAGCTGGGTGGAGAGATTTTAGAGCTCTGAGTCAGAGCGTCTCCGAGATGAGAACAGAGCAGCCATTGCCACCAGTGCATAGCCAATCAGCCCGCCGAGGCAGACTGTAGCGCTGACAATTGCCAATCTTTTTAATATTTCCTGCAACAATAGAACACAATAGTTTTTTTATATAACTTAGTTTGTCAAAATAGCCGTGGCTTAACAATACTAGTAAAAGCAAGGAGATTAGACATGTATCTTTGAATAAGTCTGTAGTAGCCTAGAGACCTTAGGTGAGGAGAGACGTGTCTAAGCCTCGAGGTTTATTATGCTTGAGCCTCTTAACAGGTTGTTCTGTTTGTCTGTTTTTTTGTGTTGTGGTGACCCCAGTCATAAAAAAGCATCTGACTTGCAGTCAACCTTGTAGGCTACCCCTGTAAAAGGTCTTTTGACTCTCAAATGGTTGTGACTCAGAGGTTGAGAAACTGCCTTAAGTTCTTTGTCAGACTGCAAAAGGTTATTGTTCTACTGCATCATAATATAGGAATTTTATAGTCTCTGGTGTTTAGCTGTGGCATTAATTTTTAGCCAGCCCCCCCACCCCCGTGAATATACTTAAAGTTAGTAAGTCAGATGGCAGATGGAATTTGGCCATTTCTCCAAATGTGAAACACTGAGAAAAAAAATCAAACTAAACAAAACTATAGACACAAACTAACAGACATGGCCAGACTGCAATGCACAGAACTAGAACAGGCATTCCACCCAGAGGGAACCAGTGAGGGGCTAGGACACCGCCTATCCAACTTTGACCTTTGCAGCAGTACTGTATCTAGTTCTTGTGTCCCGGGTGGTGCCAATTAGAAACCAGAATGCAGGCTTACCTCCACAGGTCCAGATGACTGAGAAACAGTCCCAGATGCTGCAAGTTTAGCTTTGTGGCTCAAGTGGGTAGGCATTTAGATCCCATCCAAAGCACCAGATGTTGGGTCTGAAAATACAAACCAACCCAAGCAGGTACAAGAGTCCATACAAAGCAAGAATTTATTTAATTAGCCAGCAAAAACTGACCCACCAGGGACAGGAACACAGACTTAAGAGTGGACTGCATCCCTGAACGTTAATCTTAGTAACTATTTAAACAGAAAAATTACAAAGCCTGCATTTGTGCCAAGATACAGTCAGAATTATTCATCAGTCAGAAGCATTTGTTCTTTTGTGGTTATGAGCAATCATGTTTCAGAAGCTGGCCAGCCATTTTTAAAGTCCTCAGCTCCCTAGAGCCTGGAAAGTTGAACTTAATTTCACCTAATGATAAAAATGGAGTCTGAAAACAAAATGCAGTAATTAGGAGAAGTATCATTTGTTTGACCCCAATACCAGAGGCCCAGCCTGCTGCCACACAGAGTATGCAGGAGGAGGCCTCCAGAGGCCATGCCCACCACATGGCATGCCCACAGCATGAGCCACTGAGATGCTGCCACACAGAGTATGCAGGAGGAGGCCTCCAGAGGCCATGCCCACCACATGGCATGCCCATAGCATGAGCCACTGAGATGTGCACATATGAGGTAGAGATAGTCGAGAAAAAGAGGCAGAACACTGTGAGCACCGTGAAGAAGTGCATCTGGGTGTGCAGAGGTGGAGAGGGACAGCCCGATGTGAGTAGAGTGTGAGGCCACCTGAGGCTGTGGTAAAGCCCTTCCCTGTGCTGCTGCTGAGGACCATGTGCAGATGAACCAGCCCCCAGGGGAGGGCCCAAGGGCTAGGCATGACGGTGGGAGGGCTAGCCTTGCCCCCTTGCTGACTGTTGCATTGGGTGAGCTAGCTAGCTAGTGCAGTGTTGGAGAACTCTTGGTGTTGAGGGTGTGGGAGAACTGGTGGGCTCACCACTTCAGCTACCATCCAGGCCTAGGTCCTGGGCTATGAGTTAGCCCACCCCAGCATCTTCCTCATCTATGAACTGCGTTAGTAAATGAAGGAGCTGTTCCTGCACATTCAAAGCTGCAGGGTCTCTATGACACAGGGCAACCAACAGGATACCTGAGAGGGTCCTGGTAGGGATCCAGTATTGGTAGTGTAGTCTTGAACCACACCAAGAAATGAATCATTTCAGTGAACACTTGCAAGTAAAAATGTGTGGGCAGAAGGGTGTATCGTGACATACACTGTGACATACTATAGTTCCTATAATGAGATTTTTTTTTTCCTTTTCTGTCTGGGGAGGTTGCAAGGGCAAAAGGCTGATATAATGAGGGGGGTTGGGGTGCACGATTCACAGAGACTATAATGTGGCTGTGTGATGAATTGGTAAGGAGCAAGCTGAGCAAGCTATGTCGAGCAAACCAGTAAGCAGCACTGTCCCTGTCCATGGCCTCTGCATCAGCTCCTGGCTCCAGGCTCCTGTCCTGCTTGAGTTTCTGACTTCGCTGGTCTCAATGATGACATGTTATACGACACTGTGAGTGAAATAAGCCCTTTTCTCTCTCCTACTTCCTCAAAAAAAAAAAATGCCATCTGGGACTAAGTACTCACTCGTAGTTTAAGGACTGTAGGATACAGAATACAGAAAACATCTAAAATAATTGAAGACACAATGTTAGAAGGTTCTTTTTCCATTGCTTGTTTATGTCAAGGCAACTGAAAAATGAATATAAGGTTCCTAGGGCGTGCTTGGATATCACAGGCGGAACTGAGGAGTCACGAGTGTCTTGGGAAAAACAGGCATGGAGATTACCGGTTGTGGGGCAGGAGTGTGAGGTGTGGCATTAAGAGCCAGCTTCACCTGTGTCTGCAGCCTCCAGCTGTCCTAGCTGCTCACTGCCAGCAGCTGTTTAGCACCCAGCAGTCTATTTTGGTTCCCCTGGGGGGTGTGTTTGCCCAAGGTTGACTCTCTAGGCTGATGCAGATTCACACGAGTCTTTGAAGCCCTGTAGATCATTAGCAGCTTCCTTTGATAACTGGATAACTGTCTGTTGGAGGCACACAGCTAAGAGAACTTCCCATTTGGAAGCTGGTATATGTATCAGGTAAATCAATGTGTCGAAATCAATCAAAGCAAACACACAGCGTGGAAGTCTGACATCTCCTTAGTGGAATGGAGTGACACCAGGAAATTTATGAATGTTGACCGTTTGGTTTATGTCACTTGGTTGCAATAATGAAGATATCACATGACATTTATTCTTTTTATGAAACCATGAATGAAGATGAAAATTGCATAGGGAAGGAGCCATCTAAGTCTTGGAAACTGAAGTCCCAGGTGGCTGACATAGAGTTCAAAGACTTGGGTTTTGCCCAGCAAGAGTTCAGCCTTGCCTTAGTCTAATCTTTTCTTACTTCATTGGTAAGGAGGTAAGTGTTCTGTGCCATTGTATGTTGGGAAGATGTAATTTGATTTTTGTTTTTACACAATGTCACAGTCAAGATCTTGCCTTGAGTTTCTGAAGAAACTTTGGGCATTGGAACAGTGTTGGGACTGTTCTACAATATGAGGATCTTTGAAGTTACACTAAATCCGTCTTGTGTTATGGGATGACTGAGAGCCTGTTGTAATCCGTGTTGACCTGTGGCAGGCTGGATGGAGACTCTCCTAGGTAGGATGGTGGATGTGAACGTCTGGTCTGATGGTGGATGTGAACGTCTGGTCTGATGGTGGATGTGAACGTCTGGTCTGTGGCTTTCATTTCACTCCTTTAGGAGGAGGATCCTGTCTGGAGGAAGATCGTCTCTGGGGAGGCTTTCAGGATTTATTCCCTCACCACACTTGGTCTTCTTTGTACGTCTCTGGAGGTTCAGACTGAGCAGCCACACCGTCTCCACCGTCACAGACTCCAGCTCTTACAAGTGCAATAGAAAACAGAAGCAGTTGCGTCTCCTTACTAAGTGGTTGTTCTGGTCTATATTTTTGTACATGTAAAGTAGTTATTCACATCTTGAATTTTGAACTTTGGCAGAGGGTATTGTTTTTCACCAGGACAGCACACACACACACACACACACACACACACACACGTGTATACGTGGCACGTAAGTGAATGTGTACCACTTATGTGCCTGCTGTTCACTGACGTCAGAAGAGAGCCTTGGACTCTCTCGGTCTGGAGTTATGAGTGGCTGGGAACCTCCCAGCGAGTGTTGGGGAGTGCTCCAGGCCTTCCTCAGAAGCAACATGTGCTCTTAACTGTTCACCCATCTTTGTTGTCTGTGCTTTCTAGTTTTGATTTTGGATCAACATTTATCCCCTAATATTTTGAGAATTCTTTAATGTGTCGGTTCAGTAAATTAATAAAAATACATTCATATACAGGAGTATCGTATTCTTTTTCAGTTTAAATCGGGGCACTATAGTTTTTGATGGACTAGTATTGAACTGCAGTGAATAACTCTCTGGAGGAATTTTGAAAGAGCCCCGAAGTATTTTCTGTATTTTTTGGTTTGTTTTCTTGAGACAGCGTAGCTCCGACAGTCATGGAAATCGCCGTCTCTGCCTCCTGGGGTCTGGTATTAAGAGGTCCGCCCCTTTTTGAAGTTAGGGGATTTTTGATACAGTTTTGCTAATACACTCAGTAGGGTTGACGTGTTCGTCTCTCTGCATGACTTGTTAGTTATCGTTTCTCTGGCAACGCCGTACAGAATGGTGTGATTCTTCTTTTCTCTTTCTGTCCGAAATGACTTTGACTGCATTTTAAATTCTATAATATGGGAAAACTATGTGAAGCACTTAGAAGTATGTAAATATATTCTCAGTGAAATGTACATTTACAGTGCAGTCAGTCTCACCATGTCTATTATGTCCTTACATGGGCTGTTTTAGGCCGCAGTGAGCTATGAGGATGTGCATGTGAACTTCAGTCATGAAGAGTGGGCTTTGCTGGATCCTTCCCAGAAGAGTCTCTACAAGGATGTGATGCTGGAGACCTACTGGAATCTCACTGCTGTAGGTAAGAATGCTTTCTAAACAAGGGGACAAGGGGACAAGTATTTCTTGTTTTTTTTTTTTTGGTGTACTTCTGTGATTTAAATTTTGATAAAGGAAGAATGTGGTGAATAGTCAGACATGGTTCTTAGGTACACCAGAGATACTAACTTAAAATTTTCACAGTATCTCACTTAGGATAATGTTTTCTAGTTCCATCCATTTACCGGAAAAAAAAAAAATCATGATGTCCTAATTTCTAATAGCTGAATAGTATTCTGCTGTGTAAATGAACCATATTTTCTGTATCCATTCTTTGGTTGAGGTGACCAAGCCAGCTCAGTCAGTCAACTAGAGGGATAAAGGATTAGAGAAAGAAAAGACAATTAGACAATACTATAACATGACCCCAGCTGATACTGAAGCTGAAGTGGGTTCAGTCTCTCCCAGTCTGATTTTATATCATTGTAAGTACGTAAAACGAGTGTGGCAGTCCTAAGGCATAAACAAAGTAGTCAAGGAACAAACAAAGCATAGACGAAGGACCTGAGGTCACTGTTTCTAGGGACAGATTAACATGATGAAGATACAAGCTATTCCTTGGCTGTATTTTCCTTGTCCTGGCCCAATGTCAAATATTCTCGCCAAATTCCTAGAAGCAGCCAAGAGCTCTCCACATTGAGGGAAATCTGGGCTGTTTCCAGTTTCTGGCTTACATGAATGAAGCTGCTATGAATATAGTGAACCACATGTCCTGTGGTCTGGTGGGGTAAGTTTTGGGTCTATGCCCAGGAGTGATATAGCTAGGTCTTCAGGTAAAACTATCCTCAATTTTCTGAGATGTTACCAGATGGATTCCAGGGTGGTTGTGCAGATTGTCACTCCACCAGCTGTGGAGGCTCCACACTCTTGCATGTGCTCTTGCTTGAGTTTTTGATCTTAGCCGTTCTGATGCACATATGGAATCTCAGGGTCATTTTGATTTGCATTTCCCTGATGACTAAAGATATTGAACATTGCCTTACGTGCATCTCGGCCATTCGAGATTCCTCCGTTGGGAATTCTCTGTTTAGCTCTGTACCCCATTTTTCAATTGGGTTGTTTGATTTGTCAGTATCTTGAGTTCTTTGTAAACGTTGGATATTAGTCCTCTGTGGTGTAGGGTTAGAGAAGATCTTTTCCCAGTCTGCAGGTAGCCCTTTGTCCTTTACAGTGTCCTTTGCTGTACTTTGCTTTTCATTTTCATGAGGTCCCACGTATCAGTTGTTGATCTTAGAGCCTGAGCTATTGGTATTCTCTTCAGGAAATGATCTCCTGAGCCAATGTGTTCAAGACTATTGATTGATGATCATAGGTAATGTGGAACAGAGAGAAGCTCACCACTAAGCTAAGCCTTCATTTTTTGATGGAGCCAGAGGGATTCAGCTGAGGAAAAAGACTGACACCCAGCTAGCTCACTCCAGTTACTTTATTCACACAGTATACAAGGGTAATTGGGGCTGGAAAAGGTTCCAGATACCAAAGTTATCTTGCCCTTGTTACCCGTGAGGGCAGATGAGCTATGTAAAAATCAGTCCATTTTGACCATGGCTATAGTTGAAAATAAGAACTCCAGGTTTGCCAGGAATACCTGAGGAGGAAGATTGGTGCAAGTTCTCATGTGGCACCAAGAGCAGATTCTCTAGAGAGACATTTCTTCAACATCCAAACAGTCTCACAACAACTTCTCAGCCTCTGTAGATTGACCCGAACATAGCAAAGGCTTTGCTGAAAACATTTCACTTAAAGCCAGACATAAAGGCTTTAACACACACACACACACACACACACACACACACACACACACACACACACCCATCTTCCTCCTTTTTGTTTTTAAGTGGATTTGTTAGGGATATGAATTGTTATTGGAGAATAGTGCAATAAATATGGCCTTTTGTGTATCTAGTTGTGTAACAGTTTTATGCAAATAAGTCAGCCTACATTTTAAACCCGTAAAGTTATCACCACAGAGTATTATAAAATCACAAGAGGAAGAAACTTATAAAAACGACTCATAGGATCAAGTGACACTACATCAGCTGTAAGACGTTTTATAGCGTCAATCCCTGCTATTTTAAGCAGCTTCTTTGAAGACATTTCTACAATTTCTTGCTGCAAATCATAAAACATTTGAGAAGAATTAAGATGATCCTACAAATGCATTTTAACCTTTTCCCAGTGTTACCTTCAGCCTTAAAGGCATAACACAATGAGTAGTAACAGTCCAGTCACATTTCCATTTCATTTTTTCTCTGAATCATTCTAATTGCTCTCCAGTGAGTTTCACAGCTTGTCTCTGTTCACCTATTTCATCAGCTATTTCCTGGGTATCTTACTTTGTTGAGCTGAAGTTCATGAGAATGCACACACCAGCATTTAACAAGCTCAGCAGTTTTAATTTCTTCATGAAGAGCAGCTTCAGGTGTGGTAGCCATAGCAGTCACTGTGATAATTCCCAGGGCCACAGCAATTGTCAGTCCCACCATCCATTGGGTATTCTTAATATTCTTTCAGCAAGTTTCTGTACTACCATCATCACAGGTGAGTCTTGCTATGACCTCGACAATCTCACTGGCATCCAGACTGCTGGGCTTGCTCTGAGAATACACAGACTTTCAAAAGAAACATTTAAAGACACACTGGCGTTGACACAGGTATGACGAGTATAGCATGTATAAGTGACGCTATGATCACTAGGTGTCATTGCACAGGCTCTTAAGGTAATGGCATACAGGTGTGAGAGATATGACTTTAAGTTAAAGGACAAATGAATTTTTTTTATTATTAAAGTTTAACTTTCTGTTCTCACTTCAAGTGGATGAAAAGTGCTTGCCAGTTTCCACAGATTAGTCTGAATAGAATTATCAAATTGTGATACAGGGCTTAACATTCCAACTCCAGGCCGCTCAATACAGTCTCTAGAAGCAGAGACAACTTCCACAGTTTTATTCATTGTCATATCAATTCTGAGTGAGAATATATACTCAAGGATCTGAAGACCCTCAAGCATAAGGGCTCCAATGACTTCTCCTTGGGAGATTAACAAGCACCCAAGGATCCTCACCTGTGCAGTAAGCGCCCTGACAATTACAGTATTCTTTGTACACACTGTACATACCTTTGTCAGTGGATTCCTGCCAATGTATCCAGTCAGATTCCTTGTTAGTAATCCATAATTTGCAAGATGGTTAACTTGTAGAACTAATGCATTAATCTCTTGTCCTTCCAATCCAAATGTACAAAGCATACAAAGTTTTCTGTAAGAATTCTGGGTAGTAGTGTGATCAATTCTAGATATCCAAATAGGGGAAGTTATGCTTAGACAACAAATTCCATTACCCATACAAATAAGAATTCCTTTTATTCCCACAGTATAATTTACAGTTACTTTACCCTTCGCTGCCAGATGAGCAGACACACAATGGTCATAAGGACCAGGTAAACTCATTGACAGCACAGGGATATCCATGTCTTACTCCTGTTTTAATCGGAGGCTTAGGAATATAAACCCAATAAGGATGATTTGACGATTTGACCCCATTACTTGTACAGTTAGCACAGACAGTGTGGCAAAACCCAGGTAGTGTTCAGAGAGTTTTCCAGACAGTCAAACTCTTGTTTCTCTTTTATCAGCCAATTTCTTAAGCTGTCACCATGTAGGAGGATCAGCTGTCTGGTTCAAAATCTCTCTCTCTCTCTCTCTCTCTCTCTCTCTCTCTCTCTCTCT